ATCAGACGCCTCAAGATAGATCTCCCTACAAGATACTTTGCGTTCCAATCCCCGGCAATCAAGAAGCTCCCGCCGAGCTGATCAATTAGTTTAGCATATTTAATTTCTTCTGAAGAATGATGCAGCAATGAATATAATGCGGCCATTGTTATCTCTGAGTCTCCAAGCGGGACTGTTATTGCTATAGACTGAAAAGTTTTCGTTGCAACTGTATAATTCAAATAGTGTTTTAATCTACGCATAAACAACACACCTGAGCCTGCATGGGCCTTGGATGAGGGGGGGGGGCGTGATAAAAAGAATAGTTAGGTATGGAGAAAAAGAGTTTTATGATAAGTCTAATTTTTTAAATCAAAAGTAAATCAATGTTGTAATCACTTAAAAATTATATAACTTGGGCTCTGTGTTGAATGATGCCGTTTGCATTCCATGCAACGATTCTGAGGGCTGAGGCATTATTCAGTAGCAAGAGAGGTGAATCACAATAAAAAATTTTACATTATAAGTATCTACAGATTTTTTTTTTCTACTATCAAGAGTGAGTTGATGCTCTACTTTGGGTGAAATCATAGGTATTTAGTATATTATCCAATACTGACATGCAACTGACAATCTGGTTTAACATAGTCATAACCTGCATGAGATCTACTTGTGAGTTATTGGTAGCTGCAGCTGGGGCGTAGGTTCTCGTTTGGGACTGATTTAGGGTATTTGAATTTTTATCCATAGTCTGGGTCTGGTTTGCAGAAATTGTGGGCTTTTCTATTGAATTATCTTTTGATTTTTCTCTAGAAATTGATTCTTTAATGGGAAATCTTTCTTCCGCCGCAACAATTTTGATTGGACAGTCTTTGTAACTAGCAACATGTGCTCCACTACAGTTAAAGCATGTGGAGGAGATATTATGACCTTTTATCGGGCATTGGGTTGATGGGTGGGGTCCAGCACGATTTTCCTTCGGAACCTTAAAGTAGGATGTGATCACGTTAATTTAAGCCCTAAAAGAAAAAATTCGGTCGAGCTCCTGGAAAATAAAATCGATTCGAAGATTTGTAGCCCTGAATTAGCTGAAAATTGATCATTGTGGAGCAGATATCCCATTAGTAAAATGAGGCTGTGTTGTTTTTGATGAGAAATTTAGAGTTTGCTGTATACAAATATACATGATATAGCAAATGGTGTAGAGAAAAGAAAACATCAAAACAAGCACGGACCCAAAAAAATTAAGCATATAAGAAGTAGTACGCCACTATCTCCTGTTGAATTTAAAAAAATTATAAATTTAAAAATGTTGTGAATGCTTGCTTTTCCACATCCTTGCATGAAAACTGTATAGTTGAAATTAAAGTTTTCAAGGAAAGCTGTATTAAGGTAGATTTTCCTGTTACGCCGAAAGTGCACACAGCGTTTTTTCATGTCGCAGATTTTTGGAGGGGGAAAAAAAACAGGGACTAGGTTTCTATAGTGAGCAGGCCTCCGAAGCTAGCCATCAAGATTTCATGGCCACATAGTGAAAGTATAAAGTAGCGAAGAAAAACCTGAATTACGCAAAGCAATTGTTACGCGAAGTATGTGAGTACAATGCGTTACACATGTAATCCTGGCCGCGAATGTGTTATTGTGGCTTTGCTACATATTATAGAAGAATCTAATCTCTCAGAGAATATGCCTCAAATCTAGACCTTTTTTTTGTAGATTATAACTTGCCTTTACTGCTTTTATGCTTACTGTCTTGTACTGCCTTTACTTTACTGCTTTTATATGTATTGCCTCTGCCTTTATATTTACTGCCTTGGCTTTTATATTTTCTTGAATTTATCCTGTTTATTGCTGTGTATTTTTTCTTCAAATATGCTTCTTATGTGCTTCATTTTTTTTTTTTTTGTTCCATGCTTGTTTTGATATATTCTTTGCTCTGCTGCATTTGCTTCATCATGTATATTTGAATACAGTAGACTCTAGTTTTCCTTAAATATGCTTCTTTTTCTTGATTATTTTAAATACTCCTTTAATAGTCTGCAGTAAAGTATGATGAGCATGCTTAGAAAGGCGAAACTTTAACCTCTTAGTACAGAAAATGTTAAGAAGGAAGCAAAGAGAATTGGAGAGTGGACCAGAAAGAAGAAAGGTCAGAAAGTTGGGAAAAACTCTTACAAATAGTATTTTTCGATTCTGAGATACTATGCACGCATCTACGGCACTGAGCAAAATCAGATAAGCCTATGCATGCAACCGTGAGTCTACCGGGGAGAGTATGCAATATTAGGGGGATTTCTGTACCCTTCCACCCGAACCCCCTTTTAAATACCAAAGTGGACCCGGAGTGCGACCCGGAGACATGCTCATTGATTTGAGTGAATTTGCAAGGCTTTTTCTGTTAGGGGGGTCGGGGGGTCGGGGGGTCGGAGTGTCTCTTTTGAGGGGGAGGGGGGCTTAAAAACTTCTTCACACCCTTCCTCGACTCTGAAAAATTAAAAACAACACAGCCTCATTTTGCTAATGGGATATCTGCTCCAAAATTAGCAATTTTTAGACAATTTAGGGTTAAAAATCTTAAAATCGATATTTTTCCAGGAGCTCGACCGAATTTTTTTGTTTAGGGCTAAAATTAACGTGTCCTTATCCTGCTCTCAGGTTCCGAAGGAAAATTGGTGGTAATGTGTTTTTTCATTTAACTTTGGTTCAAACGAACCGTGCCAGAGCTTAAAACAGAATCTCTGCATAAGGGAGAAACCCTGACATTTTTTACACTGTAATAATACTTGAGGTTTAGCTCTGCAGGCTTCAAAATTAATTATTTGATTACAATTATCTTTGATAGTGAAGACTTTCTCTGTATCCTCACCGTGACCAAACGTAAGCTGATGTAGAAAAATGGTTTTTTTGGGGGGGACCTGTCACGTCAAGAGGATTTCTCATGTTTTAGTCCGACTGAGAAATCTAAATAAATCTTTGACACGGCGAGTTCGTGGGAGAGCGGAACAAAATACGAAGAGATGTTTTAGCGGGTACGTATGTACCTTTATCTTTTTCCAATCAAACTTTTTTAACGATATTATTTCCACTTACTATTTTGAAGCCTTCATCTTTTAAGGATTTAAGAATATCTTCCTCAGGAGTTAGAGGAGACACCCTTTTGCTTATGACTATCAGATCTCTAGTGTTTTTGTTTTCATGAGTGTGCCAATAGATCTCACTTCTATTATTTAATTCTTTAGTTACAGCTCTATATTGTTCTTTGGTAGTAACATTCACTTTCCAGATAGTGCGCATAGCTTTAAGAATGTATTACGAATCATCTCTGATAATGCTGGAGATTAATGTGTGAATTTTATTAACATCTTGAATATTATAAATCTTAGTTGGTGGGGATGGGCTCTGTTTAGCAGTGGAGTCCAATACCTTAGGGGGTACTTCTGCAGTAGAAACATTTTGATTGATCGGTTCTCTGTTGTATCAGTAATTTTAACTTTCTTATCCCGAGTAGAATTGTATTATTTTGGCTTGCAGCTCGATGTAGCATCGTTTTTTCTGGTTTGGTCTATGTTTAGTTGGTCCTCCTCGGGTCTTCTGTAGAGCAGTATTTTTTGTAGAATCACCGTCGTTTTTCTGACACATACAACGTGGTAAATTGGACGTACATGCAGAATAGCCTTCTACATTTTATGAGATCATCACGAATAATTGCCTTAATAGAGGCTCTTTTGAGAGGTGGTTTGCGATGTTGGTTCTGTTGGCGTAGCATCTGTAGGATATACCTACTGAGGGATTGGAGATCCCTGACCATTGTCCAGGAAACACGCAAATCTCCTGAAAACTTTGCACATAATGGTGGCCCATTTGTTGGACGCACTCCATAAAGAGGCTTCTTTAACTGCTCCAATTTTCTTTATCTTTTTTTAGTCTCAGAGACATGAACTTTTTGAACTTACTTTTAGGATGACTAAAATTAATTTGCAGTCTGATTGGCTGCTATACAGGGTGGCCCAGACCTACCGTACCAGGCCTTTTTTTCGGTTAATTTGGGTCGTACGAAGTCCAGGACCGCGGGGATGACTAGGGAATCGACCCCAAGGAATCCGAATTTCATGGTCCCAGAGCCCCCTTGGAGCCTCTTAGGGGGTAAAAGAGGGGTCTGTACTTCAAAAGTCAGGGTTTTTATCAACATTTTGAAATTATCTCATTGGAATCAGAACGTACGGAAATTTTTAACTTAAATCGACACCAACAAATCCAAAATTGGCCCATCCGTGTCCAAAATACCGACCCCTAAAGGTGGGGGACAGAGCCCCCTTTCAAAAAAATTCAAGTTCGTTAAATTGACGTGGAGACTCGGAAAAAATGAGCATTCATGGGTAATCGACCCCAAGGAATCCAAATTCAAGGGTCCCGTTCCTCCTCAGAGACTTTCCTGATGGGGCACAAGGGTAACCTCCACACCGGTTAAATTTAAAAGTTCAGAGTCCCCCTGTGCCCCACCAGGAAAGTCTCTGAGGACAACGGGACCCTCAAATTTGGATTCCTTGGGGTCGATTACCCATGAATGCTCATTTTTTCCGAGTCTCCACGTCAATTTAACGAACTTGAATTTTTTTGAAAGGGGGCTCTGTCCCCCACCTTTAGGGGTCGGTATTTTGGACACGGATGGGCCGATTTTGGATTTCTTGGTGTCGATTAAAGTTAAAAATTTCCGTACGTTCTGATTCCAATGAGATAATTTCAAAATGTTGATAAAAACCCTGACTTTTGAAGTACAGACCCCTCTTTTACCCCCTAAGAGGCTCCAAGGGGGCTCTGGGACCATGAAATTCGGATTCCTTGGGGTTGATTCCCTAGTCATCCCCGCGGTCCTGGACTTCGTACGACCCAAATTAACCGAAAAAAAGGCCTGGTACAGTAGGTCTGGGCCACCCTGTATATACATCTGCAATTGAATACTTTTCCTCATTAATGTCATACTTTCAAGATCAAATTTTATTCTTAAATGTTTAACTTTTCAGGAGAATTTGTAATGGTACACGCAGTTAGTGTTTCTCATATTGCTGCTGACTGCTTAATTGCCCCTGATGCAAAGATGAGTGATTCTGTGATCTGGTTAATTGTCATCAGAGCTGGTATTTCTCGGACTCACTTATTTCAGGTGCGTTACAGAAGTGTTTGTCCTTTCATTTATCAGATACAGGGTATCCCAAAAGTCCGGTCCACCCCTTCTAAGAATTTACCCGATTCATATTTAGCAACGATACCTAGGGGATATCCATGGATCAATGTAGGGGAGATGTGGCTGAGTTGGGACAGTTTAGTTTTTTCATATGACAGTTGGTAGCAGAACGTCGATTTTTGGTGTGGTGGTACCCCCGAGACATCCAATTAAACAGACCTTGAAACGGGAGCGATTGGCCGTGTTTTGCACTTTTCAGGTGGGATTGTTTTTTTGGAGCCTAAAAGCTCGTATTTTTTTTTTAGAAAATGACGTGTGGTTCTCAGAGATTTAAACATTTTGCTGATGTTTTTGTACCAATGTTGAGGACAGATCTTCTGTCATTAGCTCCCTTTGCGTTTTCTTCCATATTCCTAACCTCAAATTCTCACCATAAATATTTACGCGGAAGGACTTTCCAGTCTGAGTTGGGACAATGCACTGGTGGAAGAGTTGGGACGGCCCAACTTATAGTATGTACGTTCTCTTCCAAAATGTATTGAAGTTTAGTCGCTGTATGCCAATTTGATGTTACCTACTTAACAAAAATTTAGAATTAGGTATTTGTTCTCAAAAATTAAATTTTTACGTACTGATTTATTACTTTGTCACTACAACTGTCTCATTTTGACTATTATAATAATTTTTCTACCTGTTAAAATAACTTTTTTACGTTATAGGTAAAGCAGTATTGTTTGTATATGCTGCTAAGTGCCCAAGTTCTCATTAAAGTTTAATCTGTTCTTGAATTTGAAGATTTTTCTACTCTGTCCCAACTCTCTCAGGGAGCCGTCCCAACTCTCCCAGGGGGTGTCTGAGTTGGGACACTCTTAAATTTTTTCTATTTAATTTGTAGCAAAGCTCCTATTCGTTCAATTTAGACCAAACCTCGCAGTAAGAAGCATAAGAGTGTGCTAAATAAGAGGATATTTTTAGCTCTGTGATGTTATGCAAATTTTGGGTGCTTTGGGGGAAAATGTAAAAAGTGTCCCAACTCTCCCACACCTCCCCTACGCTACCCTTGGGGCTCCCCACATAGGAGGGGGGGCAGCAGACCCTAACTTCTTTTTTCAAACGATCGGCAACCCCCCCCCCCCAATTTGTGAAACCTCAATCCAAAAGAGATAAAAAAAGAAAATTTCTTTCTCAAATCACATGTGGCCTTCTTGATTTCTGACAAATTGGCGGCTGGTCAAAGTTTAAAGTACGGGAAAATCCAAACCTCCCAAGATTTGGTAGAAGCGTGGTTCACCAAGGAAAGGGGTAATTTTGAACGAGAAAACTGATTTCGGCTCTAATTTTTCGAAAAAATTTGTTTTTTTTCCATATGGCGGCGAACAGGATAACTATATGAATTGCTTACCCATAGATTCGCATTACGGTTGGTTCATAAGGGTCATTTGGCACAAGAAATTTGAATCCGGCAGTAGTTTCTCAAAACATCCATTTTTTGCAAAATGGCGGCCATCGGCGAAAGATGAGCATTGGAGCCACTTATGGGCGGTTTTCCTTCTAACTAATGCTGAATACCTTTTCTCGTGCCACAAAACCAGTCATTTGGTCAAAAAGCAGAATGGCTACCTGCGGGTTGTGGAAAAGCTTGTCTTTTTATCCTCTTTTAATTAAGGTATTACCAAGGGGGATTGTCTTTTGAGAAAAAAGTTAAGGTCCGCAGCCGCCCCCTTCCCCCTCTCCCGTAAGTTAAATTTATACAGTTTTTTGGAAATTCGATAGGTTGTAAGTTTTTAACCCAGTAGCTGTGACCAGTCAGACTTGTCTTGCAACTCTTTAATACCTTAATCTAGAAATGCATGTCAAAATTCTCATACTCTGGGGTTAGAAAATATGGTGCTCATGCTTCGAATACAGGACTGTGCCAGCAAACTTTAACACTGGTTTTTTCAATTCCGCGTTCTTCGTCGGCAAACTTTGAAGTGCTGCATGAAGGGGTCAACTTTAGTACAAGTTGATGTTCTTTGTGCTGAATGATAGAATTATCCTCTCTGAACTGTGGTACAAGCCGGATCGTTGTTCCTGCGAAAAATAGTTTTCCGTAACTCGCCGTACACTTTAATGCATAGCTATAGTGGCCACAGAATAAAAGCTCTCACATCAACTCTCGATTCACGACTTATCAGCGATTGGGAATCCTACGTTTATTTTCTTGCTCTTTTCCTCTTCCTCTACTATCATCGTTGTCGCTCCACGGTCGGGTCCGTCTGATAGCTGTATGCCTTCGAGGCTTCCCTCAATTTCCATATCTTTTGCCCATTCTTAACCACACCGTAATAGTATTAAGATGTGTTAGCCACAACGTGGACTGATTGAATTAGAAATGGATCCCTTGAAAATAAAAGTTAGGTTCATGCCTAAGCGCCTGCAGCAAGTCATTTGCAGCCAGGGCCAAGTTAACAAATATTAATAGCATATACCTAGATTTTTCTTTAGCTGTGACTCAAAATTTTTGCTCCTATTTCATTTAAATAAATACTACAATGAAGGATGGGTCCCATTAAGGTCTGATTTGACGTAACTTATCTGCTGAATCCAAAAATGACCTTGGTTTTTAACATTATGCACCTGTCTCCCAAAAAAATGAATCTAAATTGATTTTCCCCACTGAAAACTCCCTTTTTTTTGAGAATCCTAATTTTGTGGGTAGATAATGGGTCAACGCAAAAAATTGAGGTCAATTTTGAACTCAGCAGTACAAATTACATACAAGTCAATTATTTAGTCTACCATAAAGTCCGCCGTGTTCAGATTTTTTTTCTTTTTTGGAGACCTGTGTTTTTACTATGATAAGTGACTTTTAAGTGCCTACTATTTCTTGAATATGTAACCTACTAAGCTAAAATGGGCGCCTCTCAATGTTCTAGTGTCTAAACTACCAGATTACTATGGTAGAACGGTCAAATCTCCCCCTCCCCCCCCCTGTAAATTCTTCGTTTTAAGTGTTTCCCCTTCTAATTTAATATTTTTAAGAAAATTTTGTATGCTCAAGGAAAGGAACGGAACTCGAGCCCGTGGTTTTTTTGAAAAGTTAAAAAACAGTGGGGTCCGGGCCGTGCCCGGTGTCAGCTGTTCCGATCCAGCAGACTGTTAGCGAGTAATCAAGTAAGTCGATCGAGGTGCGGCGAGGTGAGCCTGCATTTCTCCTCTTACTTAGCGATTCTGGCTTGTTGTGTCTGCGGTTGGAGCAAATAGGCGGTACGGTGGATAAGGCTTTACCGAAGATTTGCTCCAGCTTTGGACCTCTTAGGTTTCGGTTGCGTGGGACGTGGTGCTCGAGCTGAGGAGTATTACCCCTGCAAACGTGATCTAAGAGTAGAGGCCTTTCCTCGGTGGAAAGCGCGGAGCGAGGTGCGCGAGCTGAGCTGCATCTCTCTGCGAGTTCTCCTGAGAAAAGTAGTAGACCTTAGATTTAGTTGGTAATAATCCTAGAGATGCAGTTTATTTTTCATACCTTCCGAACCATTTCCCCTCGAGTTTCGATCAGAATGTCTTTTTAAGAATGAATTATATATGTGGAAATTATTGACAAATCTAAATTTGAATTAAATAAATACTTGTAAGTTGGAAAACACGCTTTCAACCTTTATTGCAAGTAGTGAAGTAGTGGTGCGCAAGCTGAGCAGCATCAGACGGAACTCTACTAAATTCCCTTTCCCCTTGGAGTTAAAATTTTCTCTCTCTCAATTTCGATTTCACACTTCATTATTTTTTCTATGGTGCCCGAATCCAGGCATCCCACTGAAGTTTATCCGGCACCTCAAGTAACGTTGGTAGATCTTACCAGAGGACATATGTGCCTCTGATGACCTGGACTTGCTTCGCAGAGAAGGGGGATTTGCCTCGTTACACCCCCCAAGGGTGGGACTTATTTTTTTAAATCGACAAAACTAAATGTTGCTTGGTCTAAAATGGTCCTATGTAATAAAAAAACACGGTAGCCAAGAGAATTTTCAATGAAAACAAAGGACGACGGACCGGTCTTATGGGAAAAGTGGGCCCGGTTAAATCGGCTGGCGTTTTGATATGTTGTAGGTCTTAACCTACTGATCAAAAGTGTCAATGGGCATTTCTCCCTATCTCGAAGTTTTACCCCCCATTTTGGGGGTCAAAGTTGCCAATTCGGCGTATATTTGGCAGTTTTGACACCCGGGTTTATTGGTCGCCTATGAGATTCTTTGATGGTTTCTTGAGTCTT